CAGGTCAAGTAGGCCACGATCACCATTCCGTGGCCGGTGTTTGGGGCAGCTGGTTATATGTGTTCCAGTTTGTAGTGGATCCCCGCATTCACAATGGGCACTGTCCACAAACCCCATGTTTGCATTGCTGTCCCGAAGCGTACTACACCTGTCCTCAGGCGGTTGAGGGTCATCCATTGTTTTCTGGGCAGGTGCTGGCCGGGAACATCTTTGGGGTCTTCAACGTGGTGGTGGAGCTTTGATGGCTCTGCTGACTTCCACTGGTCCCTCCATCTTGCCTTGACCCAGGCAGCCTTGGAGGTATCAGATGGTGCTGTACGAAGCAGTTCTTGGGCGTGTGTAACAAAGGGGCACCGGGACTTGAGAAGCAAGCGCTGTGGTGTCTCCGTAGTGATCTCGTGGAGGAGGTGGGATTCACTCATCTGTGCCTTTCAAAGCCGCTTCTCATCTGACCTCTGCTGGAGTGATACCAGCGAGGACAGGCAGTTGGTCTGTTGGGGTGGCTCGTAGACACCCGCAGACATTCTGTAGGGTGGCATTGAGTGCGGTGTCCAGCTTCTTGACACTGGGGCTACAGCACCAGTCTAGAGCATTCAGCAGCTGAAAGCACCAAGGCCTCGGTGGAAATGTGTTTTGTCAAGCTTCACATCCAGATATGTGGGGAAGGGCTGGGACTGTAGCTAGTGATGGCCAAATGAAGCCTCATGAAGCATTTTCTTTATTTTCTGAGCCCACTAGATGGCGCTCATGGTTTAAAGAGAGAGGCTCAAAGAATGGCAATTCATTGTGCTTTCAACCTTTTGTTAAAGAAAAAGCTGCCATCTAGTGGGCTCAGAAAATAAAGAAAATGCTTCATGAGGCTTCATTTGGCCATCACTAATGTAGCCTGACACTATCTTCTTATACCTGTATTAGCCCAGCTGGACTAGTTTAAAGAGAAAAAAGCATGCTGACTAAAAGTAATGACTAAAACTTAACTAAATTTTTTGTTGATTTAAACTAGACTAAAACTATGATTAAAAAAAGACTAAAATTTCACTAAAACTAAACAGCATTTCCATAAAGACTAATTCTAAAATTGCTGCCAAAATTGCCACTGCTTGGAGTGACAAACCCACCCAGAATTATCGTCCCATTCTGCAGTTCCCCTTGCCTATACATTTTAATGTCTTTTGGCTAATTTTTTTTCTTTCACAGCCTGCAACTGCACCACTTTGGTTCAGTCTCTATCAATTTGCAGTTGCGGTCAGCAGCAAAAAAAGCTCTGACAAACTGACTTTGAGCTACCTGCTCAGCATCAAACAACAAAGTTAGCCACTAGCTGGTGATCTGGTGAACAAATAGAGCATAATAGTGGCTAAAGAGCAAGATACTTTTCTCAGGAGTTGGTGGAGAGCGAAACAGAGCTACAAGTAGAGTGCATATTGGACTTATGTTCATCAGGTGGTTAGAAACACGACTCCAAATGAATGCTAATGTTGCTACAGAGCTGCTGGATGTGTGCACTGGAAATCATGCTGACAAATTTGGCAACATAGGATATGATCCCTAAATTCTTTTTAGTTTTAAAGTGTCTTTCAAGATGCTGTTTCTGCACTGTAACTGTAACTGTTCTGAAATGACAAACTAACAGCACCATCTCTGGGATAAGCAGCCATTTGCTCACTGAGCTATGAATAAAAAGCAGTGGGTAAAGTACAGGGGTCTTTACCACAGAGTGGCAAAACCTCCCAACCATTTTGTTCCTCATCCAGCCACTTTGCCGACAGCCCACCTGCAAATGAAGCAGGGGGAAGCACTGAAGACCCATAAATCTTTTATGCTCCATAATGGCTTGTTCACATTACCTGCCCACACCTCAGCCTCCACGGAGCAGGCCGGGCCAGCGCTGAGCAGATCAGGCCTGGAAACCACCGTGAGCATATGGAGCACTTCAAACACTCAGAGCCTCCCTGGGCCTGAGCTGTGGTCGCACCCATGAATTATAGAAATGATCTAATTGTTTTCTCATTTGGAAATACTGGGGGCCCTCCTCTCTGCGTCTCAGTTTTAACGGCCTGTGGTTTCCAATGGGGCACATGATTCAGTGCTGCCTACCTCAGACACGTTTGTTGAATCCAAGGTGGTCCGTCCTGTCAAAACAGAGCCAGAGCTGAGGTATAAGTCAAACCTGTTGCTGTAAATTAACACGTAGGCGAGAGAGGAGGAGGAGGCTCAATGTGACTTCAAAGAGGAATGGTTGTGATCAGAGGAGGGGGGAGGGCACATGTGGTGGTGAGTACACATGAAACAAACCTGGGGATTGGATGAGAACGTCTGGGTCCATTTTGAAACACAAAGTTCAATTCTGAGATAACAAAACCAACCCTCGACTAACTAATCAAAATTATGAGACATCCAATAAGTCAAAATTTAATGAGATCTTGCAAGTGCTCACTCAATGGATATCTCAAAACCTGGACAGACATGAAGTTACCAATTACAATATTAAAATGCACATGGTAAAGGAAGATTTGTAGCATCAAATATTCTCAACTGTAGACAAACCACGGAGTCCCACTTGCAATTTAAATGTCCAGTGTGTAAGATTTGGGGGGATTTAGTGGCGTCTAGCATTGAGAAATTTCTCTGGGTAAGAATTCCTTCAGTGTAAATTGTATAGGAGGATTTCAGAAGTATGCACAGAGGTCTCTTCCTCTTCAACACAAACAGACCTGGTGATTAAAACCGGTAAAAACACTGCATGACGCAGTTTCATGTGACAAATCAGTGTTTCAGCAACACTGTTTGGCATGTTGGAGACGGGCAGCTCACCCACCACATGCTAATGTGCACTCACCTTTTTTCTCAGTGAACTTCAGATCCAGAAATAGAGAAGATTTTCACTGGGAGTCGAATTATTCGCAGAGAAACAGACCTGGTGATATGAAGCGGTAAAAACACTGAATAAAGCAGTTTCATGTTACAAATCTGTTTCTCCAATGCTGCTTCAACACAAATGGCCCTATCGAGAGCCAGTGTTTGGTTTGTCAGTTCTGGGCTATTGTAGAAACATGGCGGTGCAACATGGTGATCTCCATCAACGAGGACCCGCTCCCTATGAAGATATAAGCAGCTAAATCTCAAGTAACGAAAACACAAGGATTCTTATTTCCAGGTGATTTTACACTAAAGAAGTTATACTTATTATATTAATATTCTATTTCTGCCAATATATCCCCATAAATCCTCCACACTGGACCTTTAATGTGTCAGTCCTCACACTTTCACCTGGTATTAATATCACTTTTTATTTCAAAATTTAAATGCATGAGGTGAAGTCAAAATTCTGCGACACTACATCAAAATATGACATTTTAAATAAAAAAATAATGCTAAATTAAATTGAGTCGAAATTTCAACTTGTCTCAGTTTCGACTGTTCACTTTACTGTTTGCTTTCGAGCAGGGGTGTCAAACATAAGGCCCAAGGGCCAGAACTGGCCTGCCAAGGGGCCCAATCCGCCCAAATAGATGAAAATGTCAAGACAGAAAGTAGAACACTGACTGAATGTGGAAAAACTGAGATATCTCAGGCTTTTCATCATCAGTTATGTAAACAGATAGATGTTTTTGAATGTTTTACTGGTTAACACTTGAGATCGGCTGAATAAGGCCCATGAACTAAAATGAGTTTGAGTTTGTTTCTTTTAAAGGCACGCTAAGCACTGTTGGGTGGTGTCACTTCTGTTTACGCTCAATGTTGCAAGCTCGCCTAATTCCAACCAAATGTTGGTGGTAAGGCTAACATGAACATCCGTTTACAACAATCAAGCTGGATTTACACACCTGTTCAGCAGAAACAGAGCCACCTCAGCATCTGTTTGGAAGCCCTTCTGTTTGCGGACATCTCGCCACCTTTGGATTGCTTCTTTACCGATATAAATACAGGACTTCGCTCGTTCCTTCTCCTGTTCCCTCTTCTTGGCCAGATGATCATCCAAATGTTTCCTTTTTGGTTGCGTGTCAGCCATATCAAATCTCAATAAATCTCAATAAAACACTAATCGATGTGACGCTGTCTCTAGCTAACTTTCTACTTCGCGGTCCTCTCTACTCTACTCCCCACCCTCCTTCATGTGCATGCGCGTTAACCCCCAAACCCCACCCCGCAATCGGTGATTGGCTGATTGGTGCAGCCGGGCCAAAATGTTTTTGTTGCCATTTGCGAAGCCTGGGCTGCTTACAGAGACCGGACTTTTTCACAGCATATTCAGAGGACATGTAGCTAGCAGATTGTGAAGAGATGTTTGCTGTATGTGACAAAAACTTTTCAAGCTTAGGAAGACTTAGAGAGCCTTTAACTTAACTTAGTGTGAACATTTTTATTTCTATCAACCCTACCTGTGAATCCATTTTTGGCAGAAATGGGCTTCCATATTGAGCTGCAGTTCTGCATACAGATCGTACACCCCAACATGCAAACACAACCTGCTGGTAAAACAAAGGGAACTCTACATGGAGGATTTCGCTCAGTGCTGTCTGCAGCAAGCAGCTTTCCTCAGCACTTGCTCCGCCTCGTGCTTCTTAATCAAAACTGGCACCGTGGCAATTACCTAATTAGACATCAATTAATCCACACCCTTCAGGTCTGCAGCCACGTTTGACCTGAGGAGTAATGACAAAAATGCCTTCAAAGAACGCAGAAATCAGATTAATGGAAGCTGCGCAGCAGAGGTTGTGCCGCATTTGAGAAATCTCCAGAAATATACTGCAGTTCATTTCATAATTAACAGGTAGGAATTTAATTGATTGAGACGTGAAAGCTTAATCACTCAATTCAATAACCCGGATATCAGTGTTGAGTAGATTAATTCAATTCAGTAATTAAAGGCGAGGGAAAGGTGAAGCTTTAGCTGATTGAAGGTTAAACAGCAGACTCACCTCTCTTTCTTTATCGTCTCCATCCACTGCGAGCATTTAACTCCGCGCTCTGACAGAGAGTACACACTTTACAGTGCGAGCATTTAGTTTGTCTTTTTTATTAGACGTAGCAGTTTCACAAACAGCAGTTAGCCTGAAAATTACATTCAAAATGTGCAGCTGACCATGCGCAAACACTCCAGGTACACCTTCAAAGAAAAGTAACAGTCAATCATGTGTTTGTTTGTTTTCCACAATATGTGTATTGTCATGATTTAATTCAAATTTACAAAATCAAAATCATCTTTCACTAGTTCACCATCAAAGCATACATACCTCAGTCACTATAACACATTTGAACAACTAGTTTCTGTCACTGTACATATGCTCTGAAAGGTTCTTTTAAAGGCTCTTCTTTGCATTTTAACACCCATACGTCAACCTTTAAAATATTCTCAGTACCGTTTCCCTTCTCTGTAATACTCTTTAATATTAGCTTAGGTGAAGAGAGGGGTCATCAAGCCGACAGTCAGAGACAAGTCATGTAAAAATCGGTAACACTGCAGTCCCCAGAAATCCACTTTTCCAGTAACGCCAGGGCCTCGTCGACATCTCATGAAGAAACCAACACTGAAGTTCATAAAGGAGCACAGACGATGACCCCCAGCAGCTTAACGGAAACTTTACCAAAGCACGTAAGACTACACGACACACAGTTTGTACAATGTGGCAAGACGAGGATGCTTCTGCTCAGGATTTGCTCCATTTAGGTTAATTCACTCACACACACACAGACGGAGGGTTTGTCCTCCGTCATTCAAGTCACAGGATGCTCATGTCACAGGGTTAATGGTTAACATTGGCTGAAAAAGGGGGAGTGGGTGCGAGGGAGGGGAGGGTGATGGTGTCGCTAAGGTAAGTCGGGGACACGATCTGTAACTCCAGTTCATCCAAGTGCCAAAAGACAGTCTGTTAACATAACACTGATTATTTTTTATCCGCCTGATCCAAAACCACACGGGGCTGATACATCACAGACGAAGCTCCACGACACAGAAAAACCTATCCAGTTCAAATTCAGATCATTCCTTCGGCGAGGTGATGAGGTTGCCGGTTTGGCTATGAATGCCGCATGCGCCCACCGCTGCGACCCGCCAAACTCCGGTCCACCAGGAGGCGGAAGGTGCCCCCGGCTCTGCTTTGAAGCTACTGGCCACAGGGATCCAGTGTATGTGAAAACACCTGAATACTCAAATCCACCAAATCACACGGACATCCACACGTCACCACGGCATCACTCTGAAACACTGTCCATTGTCCAGCCTGCTACTCGCAGCAGGAATGGCAACTGAAGAAGCAGGTGAAATCTGTACACCTTGTTTTTTTTTTTCCAAACTCTTCTCCAAAACTTCTGTAAGTGCAACGCGTTTGTAAACTGTCCTGTCAATGATTTTTTGTTTCTCCCAACTGCTTGGTCCACAGCAATGTTCAGTTCAGTCAAAGAAAAGGGGGGAAAAGGAAAAGAAGTCCGTGTTTGTAAAGCCAGGCGTCCTACTCTGAGTGGGCCCCTCTACCTGCCGAAGACGCTTTCATACTCGAGCAGTATGAGCTCCACTATCTGGTTCTGGTAGACCATGTGGACCGCGATGTTGCCCGTCTCGGTCTCGGGCCGGAGCAGCGTGGGTCCGAACACGATGGCCACGCTCTGGGTGGTCATGCGGTTGGCCTCCCCGTGGTCAATCACCCTGGGGGGGGAGAGGGAAATAGAACATGAGGGGATTGAAACATGGCGCATGTCACAAATAGCTTTAGGTGAGCCTATATTTGTTTGACAATGCAGTGCAGCTTCAGGGTTTCATCTTGAAAAACAACATCAGGGTCTTTACACACATCTTCAGGGCCTGAGATGGAGCGCTGAGGCAAGCCGCGCGACACACACCCTACAACACTACTCAGCGCTCCGGGCTAGAGCATAATAGCCTTTTTAAATAGAATCTACATCCTTGCATGCAGATGCACAAAACAATAACATATTCATGGAAGGGAGAAAAAAAGGAGATTAAATCCGCCCGCTGATATACGTAGACCTCCATACACTGAATGTCACGCTATAAATTTCCTCAAGAAACACCACTTCATAGGTACTGAATTACAGCAAACACAGCGCCATATAAATGCAAATTGGAAACCTAGGCAAATGTCATTGTGAACATATGATATTGCCACCGGCTCCAGTGGGCTAAGAATACATGTTAAACCTGGCTGTAGTTTGTGTTTGCCCACGGGCTGATCAGTCTGAGGGAAGGTAAACACGCAGAGTCAGACAGGAGTTGGTAAAATATCCACAGTGACATTTATGATCCGACTGCATGAGACTCACAGAGTCACTGTGGAGCTCAGGGGTTAATGTGAACAGTCACGTGTCGTCCACGTAGACAGACACTCACAGGCAAATCAAAAATGTGAGCTGACCACATCAGAAGAACAGTCTGATCGTCCAGGGTCGACAAATACAGGAAGCGACATGACATCAGAGGATATGTTTAACTTTTAGCTCTTATATATATTGATAGTAACTTTACTGATGTTGTCCAACGGTCTCTTCAGGTTCTACCCACTGAGACGTTTCATACAGTGATGTAATGTGTCATGTTGCTTTACATTGTGAACTACAAATTCGGACTGGACGTGAAACAATTTTTTTCCGTTTCCACTGTGAAAAGTTGTGGATGGTACCAATGGAACTGGTCCCCCCTCTGTTGGGGTACCTAGCTCACAGATCTGGTACTAAAAGGTGGAGCTGTGAACACTGCAGTCTGATTGGTCGGTAGAGGACGGTCACTCTGCTCAGGGCTGAGTTGTGGCTGGTTTTGAGGCTCATGTAACCACCATAGAAAAGTACTATAAAAATACCCCATAATACTCTTATTGCAGCTTCTTATGTTCAAATATTGGCAGCTTTACACACTCTCCCATGACCGTGAGCTAAATCCCTTTGGCGTGAGTACGAAACAAGACACTAGATGACATAATTTTGGGATTTGGGAGAGACAGACCGACATTTTTCAACATTTTAACACATTTTTCAATAAAATGATTAGTCGACTAATCGAAGAAATAATCGACAGGTTAGTTGACAATGAAAATAATCGTTAGTTGCAGCCCTAGTACACACACATTCATGAGTGCGAGCATGTATGATTAGGCATGTGGGTATCGTGTGTGTTGATATCTGTGTGTACCTAATTGTTATATAATGTATCCTCTGACTTAAATTTAAATCTATGGGATTAATTAATATATTATCATTATATTATTGTTGCTTACTTCCTGATATTTTCTAATGCTTCTGTTTATGTATGTATTTCCCTTTTACCTTATCTTTATCAGTCTCTCCATATGTTAAATTATCCTCAAAAATGAGTTATACATTATAAACCTTTTTTTTTGCATCTCACACATCATCAGTGAACTTTGCCTGCACAAAAAATAGTGAAAAGTAAAATAGAAACAAAAAAAAAAGTAAATATATGATTTAAATCAGGAAATGAGGACACTAACAAGCCTAAGATTTCGATAAAGCACAAAATGTGATGCTACATTCACATTTCAGTTCTTTAAAAACATATTAAAGAACACACAGCATTAAAAAGAAGTCCATGTAAGTATGGTTACAGTTTTAACATTTCAGATCCATCGCTCTGTGAAGCTGTTTCAATGCCTTCATCACTGCCAAAATACGTACGTAACTACGATTTAATAATTTTATTCGTAAGCTGTATTTATTTAAAGAAATAATATATAACTCTGACTATCAGTTTAAGCACTTTACTTACCTCCGCAGGTGTTTGAAGAGGACTTGCATTGTGTCGTGGTTGGGTTTTGGCAACTTCTTTATTAAATCTTTGATTGAATTCACTCGCTGCTTGTAGTCGGAGCATTCTGAGGCAGAGACACAGACAGCCAGTCAGTGAATGCACAGACGCACAGCACCATCTTGTGGCCACACTAGGGACACAAAATACTCTCAGCACTCTTAAGTGCCTTGTCATAGTGTAGGTGCTTCGACATGACGAATCATGTTACTCACTGATGGCTTCAACAAAGTCGTCGAAGGATCCGTATGTGAAGAGAGGCTCGGGAAGCTCCCGGAAGAACATCTTGAGAGCTCCAGTGGTGACGTGGATGTCCTCCCACTTGCTGTCATTCAGATCCACCTTCTCGTCTGATGGAGGGAGGGAAGCCAAACAGGATGTTACAAGTGTGTAAGAGGTCAGTATGCGGCGCACATATAAAACCTATGTCGTCTCTTATAAAGGAGGAAGTGTTTTAGGCATGTCAAAGGTCAACCAGCAGACTGGAGTCCTACCATGGTTTACAGCAAAGCGCAGCTTCTGGATCACTGCCAGGTTGCCGCTCACTCTGTACAAGCCGTCAATATTGAGACCTGCAGGAGGAGGATGAGAAGAGGGGCAGAGAGACAAAAGCAGTGAGAACACTGTTGGTCCTGACATGCCGAGCTGACCTCAAACACACAGCACCAACACAGATCGACTGATCGAAGGTTTTGCGTGTCCTTACATCACCTCATGTCCTCTGTAAGTAAAGATGCAGCTGAACACATGAGAAGCGCTACAGCTGTCATGGAGAGATGTTCTCAACTAGTTGTTATAACAACCAATGACGGCAGATATCTCCCGTCTTCCATAAATATCAGTCTGGGATAAATACGAAGACGTTGATCATGTTAGTGCAGGGCTGCCAGAGCTTTACATCTGTCCTATGGACAATATTTTATGGAAATCAAATTCCATACTTTTCCATACTGCCTAGGAACTGTAAGAGTTGCTGATGCCAGACACACTTCAGAGACAATGGGCATAGATACGTCACAGATGTTGAACTATAACCACCTGCTGAAACTGTCTTATGTGGTTTAAAGCTCTAGAAAAAGGTGCATAGCAGACCTTAAGCTACATTTTTTTTGTCTAACCTCATGAGAGAGGTTTATCCGGAGGTTTCGCACCACAACATTTGAAGTGATTTCTTTATTCCTTTGATGTGAACTAGAAATGTAGCTGAAAAGATCTGACTGAGCTGAATGGATTCACCTGTGGCCTGTGTGAGATACAACAGAGGTGTGTGGCACATCTGAATGAATCACTGTTTCCTGGAGCTGGAGCGGTTGTACTGAATCATCAATGTCACTGAACCAATTGCAGTAAGTTCCCCTCAGTAGTGACTTCATGTGGCAGTGTTGACTCAGCTTTGTCACACAGCATGTGAGTAAGTGCTTCAAAGCTAACTCAAAGAACATCAAGTCCACAGAAATCTACATTTACTGAAATGAACATACAGCTACAGAGTACAACTTTCACTCACTGGCCACTTTATTAGGTACACCTTGCTAGTACCAGGTTGGACTCCGTTTTTAATTCTTGGTGTCATAGATTCAACAAGGTGCTGGAAACATTCCTCAGAGATTCTGGTCCATATTGACATGATGACATCACACAGTTGATCCATGATGAGAATCTCCCGTTCCAGCACATCCCAAAGGTGCTCTATTGGACTGAGATCTGGTGACTGTGGAGGCCATTGGAGTACAGTGAACTCATTGTCATGTTTGAGATGATGTGAGCTTTGTGACATGGTGCGTTATCCTGCTGGAAGTAGCCATCAGAAGATGGGTACACTGTGGTCATAAAGGGATGGACACGCTCAGCAACAATACTCAGGTAGGCTGTGGTGTTTAAACCATGCTCAGTTGGTACTAAGAAAATCTCCCCCACACCATTACACCACCAGCAGCAGCCTGAAGCGTTGATACAAGGCAGGATGGATCCATGATGCCAAATTCTGACCCTACCATCTGAATGTGGCAGCAGAAATCCAGACTCATCAGACCAGGCAACGTTTTGAACCAGTCTGGCCATTCTCCTCTGACCTCTGGCATCAACAAGGCATTTTGGCTCACTGGATATTTTCTCTTTTTGTGACCATCCTCTGTAAACCCTAGAGATGGTTGTGCTGAAAATCCCAGTAAATACTCGGACCAACCATGCCACGTTCAAAGTCAGGTGTCAAGGAACAGGTGTACCTAATAAAGTGGCCGGTGAGTGTATACTGATTGACCCTTTGTAATACCGTTTCTTTAGAATGCACACATTTCCATCCTGGGTGTTGCTCCTACCTGTGTTCTCCACATGCTCGATACACATCGTGACAAAGTTGGGGACTGATGTGTTCTCCCGCTGGCACAGGCTGGTCAGGCTGCAGCCAAACACCTGATCTGTGAATCACCAAACACAAAGTCATTTTTAACCGTCATCTGTCCAGGCAGACACGCCGGCTGCTGTTCCATATTCAAACAGTGGCACATATCCACATGTGAGAAAAGCTCAGCAGGAGCCGCTGCCTGTGCTGCACTCAGTCTGAATACCTTTGATGTAGCCCTTGTCTCGGACTGCCTGGTAGGTGGGTCGACGTGTCAGGAACTTCTTGAGCTTCAGCCTGGTTTTCTTCTGGTCTGACGAGTCCATGCTCACAGAGGTCTTCATCGCTGAGGAAGACAGGCAGGATATGAGTGTATTCCTCAGACACTAATACATTTACAGTGTGTGTTAGGAGCATTCTGTCAGTCTCACCTCTGTTCTTCTTGGAGTCTCGGTGGTCTTTCTCTTTGTCCTGTTTCTCAGCTCCTGGAGACTCAGGCATGTCCTCCTCAATGGCCTCATCTGACTCCCAGGCCTGGACCGGAGGAGATATGCATGGTTAGATACAATCAGATTTAAGTCAACTTGGACTAGAAGGCAGGACAAGAAGACATGAAACTGAGGAAGATTTTGCCAGTGACAGATGTCCCCTCACATGGTTGTTGATGGTCTCCGTGAGGGCCCGGTACCAGTCGTTGATGACGCTGTCGATCTCTGACTGGATCAGCAGCTCCGTCCCTTGACGAGTCTTCAGCTGAGGGAGGAAAAGTCAACGTTACTTCTGAGCACATTAAACTGCACAAAGCGCAGGTTTATCTGCAGTGGAACCTGACAGCAGATCCACTGTGTTCGATACCTCGATGACGTGTTTCTTGCTCGACTTGTCCTTAGAGGCCCAATCCACCGAACCCCCTCGCAGATCGACGGTGAACTCCGGCTTCGACTGGTTGCTCCCAAACTTCTGGAATCAAGGAAACAGTATGAGAGTCCACGTCTGACACAAAGATGAGACAACAGGGACACGCTGCTGTTTAAGGTGGATTTTTGTGTTCATGTGAAGGGGTATGAATCACTGCCCGACATCCTCAGTGTGTTTAAAAGCACAGAGCATGAATCTATTAAAATGCTTGGTGGAGCAGGTGTCACATTCTCAAACGCTGTGAATATCATTTTGAAACTCTTCATGAATATACACACATTTTTAGTAAAAGGTTACAAGAAAGGCAAAAAGTTAGTTGTTAATTATATCATGTGCATATTAAAGCTGCTGTATGTAACTCTGGAGACAGACTAGGGCTGGGCGATATAACGATTATGTGCAATATATATCGATATATTTTCAAGCAAGACATACATTTAGACAACACCGTTTATATCGATATAGGGTCAAGTTAAGTTCTCCAGCAACACTTTTTAATCTGACGTGCACCTCCCCAGAAATTTAACTACACATCACAGCGACACAGACCTCATGTGTATTTTTGTAAGCTTTTATTTACTTTTATTTATAAATTGTGAAGACAATAAGGCCTCCACAAAATAGCATTTTAAGTCTTGTGTGTGATTTATCCTGGCTTCATATGAGCAGAGGAAATCGCCGCTTGTCGCTAGGCTAATTTATACAATGTAAAATGCCATAGGCTTGTGCTAATAATGTTAGCATTTTGTATTTGCTTGGAAAACATGTTTAGTATAAGACAGCTGTTTTGTCAGTGAACCTTGTGAGCTGTAATGGAGCCAAATTTTGTAATGTTACCTTTGTTAAATGTTGCTGTTGTCCCTGGCTTCATATGAGTAGAGGAAAAGTTCACTAGCTGCTAGGCTAGTTTATACAATGTAAAATGCCATAGACTTGTGCTAATAACATTAGCATGTTGTATTTGTGGGGAGAATGTGTCCAGATAAAGACAAGTGTTTGTCTGTGAATGCTGCGAGTTATAGTGAAGCTGATTTGTGTACTTGTGCTTGAAACTGTCTCTATTAAGCCATGTTTAATGTGTGTTTAATGTGTGTTTTGAATCAACTAAACTTTACAGCATTTCACAGAAACCCCGTGGACTAGTGTTTTTTGAGGTGTAACTGTTTAGCAGCTGTGGGGGGAAAAATCCCTGTCTCTGCATTTCATTTTGATCACAGTCTGGTTTTTATAAAGCTGCGTGTGATATCTCAAATGTGGCTTTGAACTGCAGCTGAAAACATGCTGCCTGTTTCCTAGAAAATGTCGCCATTCAGTCTGTAAATACCAAGATACTCATTTTTGTCCATATTGCCCAGCCCTAAGACAGACAGTTGAGTGTCGAGCCTCACTTCCAGGTCGTCAAATACTGACCCTTTGGTTTGATAGTCCACCAACTAAACCCAACATGTCCATATTTGATCTGAGACTTTTGGTTATATTCTTAATTATACCAAAAAAATTAAGACATTTATTCACTCTCAAGGTCTCGTGATATCGGTCCACTCACTATTTAAATTTCTGTTTTCCTCTGAGACTTTTACAACTGGAAAATGTAAGAATCACTTTAGGCCTGCACCAGTCAAAAACATGTGTATAGTTTGCTTATCAGAGCTTTGGGGCTGAAAACAGCTGCCTGCTGCATTGGCTCCATTGTTATTATGACACTATTGATTAGTGCAGCCTTTTTTTGACATTAGGATCAGTTAATTCAAGCTGTACACACACACACACACACACACACACACAGACACACACACACCAGTGTCCCAGTCAGCGAAAGCAGAGTGAATGAAAGACTGACAGACAGGCAGGAGCAACACATGCAGAGAGAGGGGACATACAGCGGCAGCCTGCACAGGCCTACAGTTCACATAGGAGACAGCAGGGCGGGGCTTGACTGAGCGCTTCCAGTTGCTAAGGAGAGTGAGGAGCAGCTCAGGGATGGAGCCACTGCGGTAGTAAGACTTCAGGAAGGAGGAGAGGAGGAGAACAAAAGCAATGAACAGAGGATGACACATTTCAGAGCACAGGTGGCATGAGGACAGGTGACTATGCAGAAATGAGGAAGAGAGAGATAACACAGAGATGAATGTAACACTTAAAAAAAGCTCAGATACTCTGCAGAAACATGAGCGTGTCGGGGCTGATGGGATACGTACCCAGCTGGTGCTGCCGCCCTGACCCTTTGCAAAGAGCAGGGAGGAACCTTGCAGCACGGTCCACGAGGAGTTCCAGTTCTTCCTGTGCGTCAAAGTAAAACAAAGATAACTCAGACAACTCTTTAAAAAGATCATCGGGATTAGAAAGAGTCCGTTTCATTTTGGGACGTCAGATTCCTACCTGACTTTCTTTCCATTCTCTGTGATCTTGGTGACATTGAGGACTCCGCACTTCTCTGAGGGCTGTGGAGACACAGGCGCAGATAAGAACCAGCTAGAACACATGCGTGAAACACACATGCATCCACACACTCACACGCTGAAGCTTGAGAAGCAAATGGAAGTGGCTGTGCTGCTTCATGTTATGTCCAAATATCACCAGCAGAGGGCGCCCTGACACTGCTGCAGAGGGCGCCCTGACACTGCTGCAGAGGGCGCCAGAACAGTGGTGGAAAATGTGTTAGATGCGATGCAGTTAGATGTGGCACGCAGCAGATGGGAGAAACTGAATGCAAAGCAGGCTTGGAGAGTTTTTAGAAGATGAGGAGGAAGACGTGTTTGTATCTGCAGGTGAAAGAAGCGTGATGATGATGATGATGATGATGATGATGATGATGTGGTGCGATGCAGTGCAAGCTGGGATACTAACGGTCGAGGGGTGCTTAGGAGATGAGGGGCAGGAGTCAGAGTCTGGAGAGCTCTGCTTGGGCGCCGGAGCACACTCCTACCAACAAGAGGCACAACATGATGAGTCGCTAATAGCTACCGGCTAACTACAAGACACATGGAGAGAGTCAGTCTGAGGTTAGTGAGGAGGAGAAGATGGATCAGGAGCCTGGAGAGGAATCACAAGGTTGCGTTGGATGTTAGGTCATCAGAAGGTAAGGATGAAGGAAAGGACAGTTAGGATTTAGGTTTCAAACAACATGCTAGTTAGAGTTATTTCAGATTTCACTTTAAGGTGCTGCTTCGTACTTCCTGTTCATCTCACCCACGATAACAATGAATCAGACATTTTTGATTGAGTGAGCACATGGCCTTGATTGTCATATTTACACAGCTTTATTAGAGGGAATTCTACATGACACTGGCAGTGAATCAAAATGGATCATCTGTTGATTAGAGGAGGCGCCGGAGAGGAGAGGCTACAAGTGGTACCAACTTTATCACGGTAAAGAGAGAGACGAAATCTCCTCTTGTGCGAGTCGGAAGTGAACCGCCAGAGTTTGAAAGAGAACTGCAACGAAACCACCACAGAGTTAGCCTCCGATATATTTCACTCACTCTTAAGACTCGGTGTCTGGTTTAAAAGTCCCCCGATAAATTTGTGTTTTAACATTTACTACTACCAAAAATCATCGGGGCAGTAGAAACAATCAGCTGATCGGGTTCTTTGAGACTTCTCTGAGCTTTGTTTCTAATGTCAGATAGTTTGACCTCAGAGATGCAAGTGACAGCAAAGCTTAGCTCGACCGCAGTCTTTCCCTCAGTCAGCCAGGCTGGATCAAATCCTGTCCTCCTGTGCCTCTCCTGGGTGGCCGAGAGACAGCCTCTGATGTTTCTGTATCAGTCTATCTTGATTATATTCACAGGAAGTTATAACATGTTACCTGCGTCTGTTTGGCTATAAATGAAGAAATCCCACTAAACTGAAAGGAAAATTATTTGATGTTGATGTTGGGTTGACAGTGAACGTCACTGTTGGACCCTGCAGTCATTAAATAAACTGAGGAATTTGACACTACCAGCCAAATTTAGAGCAGAGCAATATGAAGCTCAGATGTGAAAAAGTTAATGTTACTTAAGGAAAGAATGTTTTGTTTTATAGCTTTATCTAACCAAAAAAACTGCAATCAAATTCATAAATATATTCATTAAATTCTGTATATTTTCTAATTGAAAAATTCTGGAAAACAAAAACCTGAATCTGGAAAACATTAAAACTGATTTCACAGGGCGCTTGAAAGAAGTGTACATTTAGGAGGCAGTAGGAAAATCTGTGGCAAAACATTAATAAATTGTGCTCCTGAAATTCGAAATTCATAATTCATATCTGAATAAACACAGAACAGTATCAAATACACTGTGGACATCTGTGTCTGTGTTTAAAGGGGGACACTTGCTAAATTATTCAGATATGTTATATCCATGGTTGGAAAGTTAAATAAATATTTGTGAACATGGGCGACTCTCTGTCAAAGCCAGAAACCAAAGAAGGAAGTCTCAAACCTGTGATGTCATCAAGTATAAAGTCTGGGGCTGCTCCATAGACACTGAATGGGAGACACAGACTGTTTTTCATACCCAGTTGAGTTTTATTCTATTGTAGAGTTCTCAGTTGTGAAACAGAAAATGTTCCCATGTACTCAGAACATTCCCCTGTGTGCTCCCAGTGTCTTCTACAACATCTTTCCTAATTCACTGTCTGTGGAGCAGCTCCAGACTTTATACCCTGACGTCACAAATTTGAGTTGAAGTACTCTAGTTTTTGGATTTGGAAGAGAGTTGTTCACTTTTACGAATACTATTGGATTGTCTTAGACCATAGATATAACATGTATGAATTTTGAAAATGGGCGCAGTTCCCCTTTAAGGGTGTAAAAAACACCCTGTTGTTTAGCATCCATTTATTTCCGTCCAAAACCAAACAGCTTTAAATCCAAGCGGCTCACTCTGAGTGTTGTCCTCAGTCAGACACACAAACATCACTGTAGTGACATGCAAAATAAACACAGAGGTGACGAGACAAGCTAATCTAAATAAGACGCTTACATTTTATGCAGTTCATTTTTATGCTGATGATACATGAGTAAACATACATACACATAGGGTCTCATTCATGAAACGTGAGCAGAAGGAATTTGTGTGTAAACTGTTCGCAGACGGAAATTTACGTGCATGTCCGCATTCATCAATATTTTAGTAGCTCCGATCTTTTCGTAGATACTAACAAAATCTACTCCTGCTCCTGACCACTCGTAGTGCTTGTGTAAGTTTAGTAAAGCACATAAATATTGCTTGTCACTATTGGAAATTACAATTTTAACTCGTATTGCGCTCTGTTGCGTACACAATACCCAGATGCCTTTGAAACACGTAATCTAAACATGACAAAAATATTACAAATATAACACATTTAGCTAAATTAGTTGGCAATTAGCAGGTTTAAGATCCAGATTAGGTTCATGATTGTGAATTATATATGTAAATCGACTCAAAAGATTACACGTTCTTTCTACATGTTGAATGATGATAATAAAAATATCCGTAAGGACAGCCGGATCACAGCCTCTTCGGCCTCGGTGCCTGGGTTCAGCAGGGGCAGCTGAAAGAATTATTTGAGACAACACGTGTTTTTTTTTGTTTTGTTTTGTTTTTTTGTGGCTTTTTGATCATTTGAATGAATAAATCTGATTTGAAAATGTTTAATTTACGTTGTATAAAACAGAGCTTTAGGCTATTAAGATTCAAATAATTTGAAGACGATGCATACAAACTGCTGTAGGCTATATGTTATCCGTATCATTTGTTAAAATAAATGTTAAATAGCTCTACATTCCGACAGCCATCACTGATTTAGAGTTTATCCATTGCGCACAAAACATCTCTGCTTTCCCGTTCCCACTTCATTTAAAACCCCACAAATGAATCTTCTGTTTGTTTGGTGACCGCTACGCTATCAATGATGATTTTCAGAATGTATTAGGCTTGTCGCTGTCTGAGAGGTCTCCCCAATTATGCCAGCGATGTGCTCGTCTGCAGCAGATAGTTGTGACTGTGAGCCGCCTCCTCCTGTGGCTGCTGTATTTTTTTGTGTGTGTGCTTATGCGTTTCTTTGCCTCCAGTTTCATATCAAACCATTTACGCTTCACCTCTGACATGGTTCTTTGTACCACGGAGACAACATTAACAGCATCTGTTACCTCCCTCCAGGCCTTCGCTTTGCCTGTCACACCACTACTAACTGGAGAAAATAAAATGTTTTTTCTTAAGTCCACTTCACCCAAAATTATTTCGATCTCCGCTTCGGAAAAATTCTTTTTTCTCTCTCTCTCTCTTTCTTTGTTTGCGCCATGACTGACAGGTCGACTGGATGCACTTACACCTTATATGGTGGTCATTGGCTATTCATGGGCGGGGATTTATGCTAATTGCTGATTACCGGGAGCGCGCTGTCACTTTACGATGGATTGGCATTCATGATCATACACACGTGTTTACGATCAAATCTGAGTTTCCCGCGGAGTTCCTGAATCCGGAGTAGATATTTAGTAAAGTAGGCTTTTATGTGCAAATCTACACACAGATTTACTCACTCTTCATGAATGAGACCCATTGTCTGTTGAACAATGTTGTGTTTTCTTTGATATCCTTTAGACACATCTGAAAATGTCAACTATTCTTTCCTATTTGAGGATATTTCACCTTTTAATGCTTCATTTATTTAATATTTAATCGGTTCATATTTACATCAAGCAAAAAATATGCCACTGTTTGCATAATGGAAAATGTAGGATCCAGTGTTTCTCGAGTTTGACTCACACCAGGGACAGAGTCAGAATATCTCGACCTGCGTTGCTTCAAATTGAAGCTTTCTTTTTTTGATTTGTCTCAATACAAACTCACTATAGCACTCTTTTAAAACAACGTGTGCTGTATGGGATTATCTCGCTCTATGGAAGTTAGCTTGCGCCCTGAATCTGTATAAAAACTAGCTGGAACTGATGTAAAACAGAAACTTAAGATGAGTTCTTCCTGTCTGAAAACATTCACAACATCCTCATTTAAACACATGAAAGTAAACTTGCTTTTAACTTAAATAATTCACCATGCTTTATTAAGACTCCAAAATAAAAGAGACAGTTTAAGCCGTTGTAAGCCTGTTCGTCTGTGCAGCTGAGAGCGTCATCAGCACTCGGGGATTAAACTCGCTGCCAATAGGACAGAAAGAGCAGACGAAGAACCTGCCAGAAAACCTGCAGCAACAACAGGACCTGTTTCCACACCTATCAGACAACACAGTCTGTGTAACCCCATCACTTCTCATATTTTCAATCCTGCCGTCTTCGCTGAGTCTTACCTTGTCGTTGAGGTCTAAGACGTAGGTGCTGTGTCTCCACTTGGTGAGGACGATGGGATCCTGCTGCTTCCTCTCCAGACTGCGGCTCTTGGGAACCTCACCGGACTGAGGGGAGATGTTGTACTGCGGAGACAGAGAGGAGAGCAGAAGTTAAAAAAATCAGAGTTCTTCTCGCATATCCTTCGATGTCTTCCCTCTCGCCTACCTCTCCTTTTACTGTCCACAGCACCATTGGACAAAGGGACTTCTCTTACAGCGTAGGCATCGTCTTCAACTGTCCCCTGAATGAATCCATGTCCACTGCGAGAATGGACTGCTCTATTCTGATCAGCTCCCCAGATTAGCAGGTCAAGAGCCAGTAATAGTCCTTTACCCAAGGTTCAACTCCCACTTGGCTCCTGCTGAGCTCACAGGGCTCATCCACTTACATTAACAGGACCAGACGCCAGGAGGAGTCGCACTAAAGTGTGTTACTGGGTACTGGTATTAGGTGATGTAATGTGAGAAGATTTCCCATTTTCAGGAGAAGGAGATTAGTTTAAATGGCGTCTGATGGACGTGACAGGGAAGACAAAGGCACATGGACACTATTGATCAGAGGATGATCTCACCTTGGGCAGTTCCCATTCTGATCTGGATCCATCAGCGCTGTAGTAGTAGGGCCGGCCCTGTTCATCCACATGCTTTATCCACTGCGAACACAAACACCAGTCAGTGAAAAGGGAAAACAAGGATACGTGATACCTGGGCTGACCCCTGATAGTCAACCAAACGTTAGTAGATCAGAAAGGTCATTAGTCGGCAAGACTTCATTGGTCGCTTAGTCGTTGAAAAAACTGTGGACAATAGGGCAGTAACGGTACATGTATTTGTGTCGAACCGTTCGGTACGCGACTTTCGGTTCGGCACAACCCTGTACCGAATTATTGGGCGCAGGATATTATTTTATTTTATTTTGTTTTATTTTAATTCCATTTTTGCGAGCCGAACCATTTAAAATATCTACTTCCCCGACGGACATAATTGAGTGACGCACCGAGTCCGACTGTAAATCTCCACCTTCACTTTGTGCAGCGCATTCTCCCATTTTGACAACATGGCAAGTGAGCCTGACGAACCTGAAGACCCACCAGCAAACCTTAAGTCCTCCGTTTGGGAACACTTTGGTTTCAGGGTAAAATACGAAGATGGAAATAAACAAGTGGACAAGACAAAAGCAGTGTGCTGACACTGCAGAACAGCGGTTGGGTATGTACTTGGAAACACGTCTAACATGCTAACGCATCTAAAGCAACACCACCCGAGTTTGAACGTTAACCGGCACGACTAGAAAAAGCAATCTGGTGCAAACTACGATATCGTCGTCGTTTAAAAAGAAAGAGCGTTTCCCTGACCATCGCGCTAAAGAAATAACCAACGCCATTGGAGTTGCGTAAAATTGTTTAAGCTGCACTTTAGATATAAGCATGTTTTGTTTACTGCACTTTAACAAAGTGGGAAAGTTAAGTAAGTTCCTAGTAAAACTGAATCTGAGCAGGCTTTAAAGCTGACCAGCTGCACTATACTTTTTATTTTAATTGAGTAAAACTGTTAAAGCAGAAATGTATATTTATATTTTTAATTCAAAAAATGTGTTAAAAAAACAGCAGGAATTTATTTTTCACTTTTATATTTCTATTTTCATTCAAACAATGTGAAAAAGCAGGATTTTATATATATTTGTTTCATTCAAAAATTATGTAAAGAGTTAACTGCTGTGGTGGTATGTTTTAATAAGGTTACCAATAAGTAAAAGGTATTTAATAGTTGTCTATTTTTTTCAATTACTGTACCAAAAAAAAAACGAACCGTGACCTGTGTACCGAGGTACGTACCGAACCGAGATTTTTGTGTACCATTACGCCCCTAGTGGACAACTGTGATCAGTCTATAAGTCGGTTGCTAATCAACAGACTGTACCTTCTCCTGTGTGTATTCAGAGACGTAGAGTGTGTGTCCATGTTCATCCAGCTCCTCAGACCAGCCTCTAGGGGGCGACCCGTACTGGCTGTCAGACTGACTGGAGTGGGTGCTGTGACAGTTTTCCTCTGAGGACAGTGGCTGTGGAGGACAAAGACAAGAAGACACAAGGTTTAATGATCTTACTGATGTGGCCCATTAGCAGACACAAGAAATACACCCATGAAGACATTACAACCCTGTTACTTTACTTGAGTATTTCCATTTTTTGCTCCATTACAGAGACAAGAGTAAAATCTTTGTCTCTGTAATGGAGCAAAAAATGGAAATACTCAAGTACGAGCTACCATATCCAGCAGCCAGTTAGCTTAGCAGTGACTATTAAGGCATTTTATTTTATAGAACCAGGCTAGCTTTTTCTTCCCATTGTAAGTCTTGCTAAGCTGTGCTAACCAGCTGCTTGTTGCAGCTTCATGTTGACCGTAAAGAACATGAGGGTAATCTCAATCTTCTCTTCTCTCCTCAACAAAGCAAATACCTACTGTACATTAGAAGACTTCAAAAAGACCTTTAAAAGACTGAAGTGTGACACCCTCTAACATCTTAAGTAACGTGAGTTTTTAGTCACACACTATAAGATTTTGCAGAGACTGAGCATCCTGCAGGGTCACTATTTGCAAGACTACAACTAGATTCCTTTTGAGATTATTTCCCAACCTGCTCCTGGTGGAAAATAGTATGCCAAACTCCCTGTAAGAAATATGAAATATTAACAATGCCTGATGTGACTTAAAAAAACACTTAACTTTAGAAACACAAGATAAAAGGTGTCCTTTGTTGACAGAATTCTTGACAAGTCGGTATCAATATAATCTATACAGATAAACTACATTTTGAGCCTCCACTTGTTAGCTGTGCCATTTTATTGGAAGGAGACTGTGGGAACGAGAGGTGAAGTGTTTCAAAAATTAAGATTTCTTACTAAATGTAAATGCTGGTTAGTGGATAAAACACACGCTGAATTAAACAGACTCTTTTTCACTCCACAGCTCTACCAGTTTCTCCTCCTTTTCTACAGTGCAAAAGAACCAAGACTTGTTCACTGTCTTGCACCTTCCTGCCGTCTACTCACTTTGCTGCTTCCTCTTTGGAGAGAGTGCACCTGTTGGCTGTTGACAATGTTAATTCACTTCAGAATTTGCATGACCCAAGACTAAAAAGGTACACTAATTTTAAACTTGTTTGATATTCCTTGAATGTCAAGAAATAGACCGATTTAAGACAGCTCGGATTGAGATTAATGACCATCTTACGCCAAACTATTAAGCTTACAGGAGTGTGAACCAACTAAGGTAAAACTCGTGATTTTATTCCAACATCAGAAATTTGCTGCGATAGTGAAGTTGCTTGAAAGGTCATCTGGTCTTCAGGGTGTCTACACGTATCAGACAGTTAAATTTAATGCTTTTTAAGACCTGTTCACGACACCTTTTCAATAAATCTGGGACCAGTTTTTGGACAAATCACATTTTACTTATAGGAATATGGTTAAGACCTCACAAATTCAAATTTAAGACTAATGACTTTTAAGGCCTTATTGTTGTAACACTGAATTGAAGACATTTTAAGACTTTTTAAGGACCTGTAGACGTCAAACTATTCCCTTAAAACTAGTTCCACCTTGGTCAGCTACAGCATTAAAATGTTGCTGACACAATGACGCATCTGTTTTAATTTGGCTGCTACTAATGATTATTACAACTTATTACTGATTAACCTGTATGTTCAATAAATTGATCAGTTGGTCTGTAACATTTAAATTGCCCATGAAATCTTTTAATGTTAGTTTACAATTAGATAAAAGAGAGAGAAATCCTCACATAAGTAAATAAGCCATCCTTACTCTCCTTTACAGAAAACTGCAATACACTGAACCGCCACACGAGGGCAGTGTTGGACAGGAAACTCCAACCTGACAGGAAACCATGACTTCCACATATCAAAGGCACTCCTGTTACCTTCAGTAACCACAACACCATTTAAAGTCCTTTGAGGTCCACCACACTTTGACCGCAGCCTGTTTGTTTAACACCGACTGCCAGAGAGTTTATTTACAGACTGGCGTCAGTGCAGACTTGCACACATCCAAACTAAATACCGGAATCCTGTGTTTCCTGTGATCACACCTACTGTTAGTTTCCTGTGGTGTGGAAAGGAGTGATTTCTCAGTTTGGTGTACTTTGTTCATGCCACCTGATTAGTTTGTTTAAGCATCCCTCACCTCACTCTCCAGTGTGCCCTGGCTGTCCGCTCGGAAACTGCTGGTGCTGCCGCTGGCGTCCCTGGTGCGCGGTGGCTTCCAGGTCCGCTCTCCAGTGGCACGGTTATAGTAGAAATGCCTCCCGCTCAGGTCTTTGTGGGTCTCCCAGTCGCCCAGGATGTGGAGGGGGGAGCTGGAGGGGACGGGTGGCAGGCTGGACTGAGAGATCTTCAGCTCCTGGAGGTTGGTGTAGACCGGCGAGTCGGATCGACCCTGACCTGTAGGTGACGTTGTCTGGTGGAGGAAAGGAGAAAAGGAGGTCAGATCATTAACATTTTATTTACTCATTCTCGTTTTCCAGCTGATATGCCCAAACCTCTCCAGAGACTTTACGAGTGTCCTGACTTTGTTCTGAAAATTCAATAATATTCCAGGAATTCCATAACCAGAAGCAGCCCTGAAATCACTCCGGGTCTGCTGAGATCTAAGCATCTGTAGGAATGTTAGTCCTGTCCAGCACAGAAACCAGCGGCTATCACATCCTCTACTGGACTGGAATGTAACAAGCTGTTTGTTGCATCAAACTTCAGCGCTCATACATGCGCATGTCGCTGCAGACCTGCTGTACACGACCCTGACTTCTCTTTCTAAGAGCATGAACGTAAGGCGGTGAGTTACGACGCTCTCTGACAGTCTGCACGGCAGGATGCAGCTGCTGATCAGATCACACGCCACATGTGGCTCGCAGATACTTTAAAACCATATCAGTCCGATTCTAATCGGGTCCTCAAAACAGATTCAGCGCGGTTACATAATCGTTTATCTGTCTACCTAGAGACCACGGCCAAATGCTATCAACATAAAGGGCTACTGGTGTTAGCATGCAGGCATTAGGTACAGTATGTCACACTTTTTAAAAATAGAAGCTACACAGTGATTTACAGGAAGTGATAGAAGAGACAGCGAAGACAGTACATGACAAGACACAAAAAGGTGTAGAATCAGGAGAGAACAAAGGAAAGCACATGGATTTTTTAAAGATGGTCGCCAATCTGTGATCACCTTTGGTTCACAGTTCAGAAATCTCTGCCTTGATGAAACTAGGCCCTCCCTGAGGTCTCATCGTAACTATAGAATGGTTAGCCCGTGTATGTCAAGGAGTAAAGCTTTGAATTCAGTCCTATAGGTGACAAGGAACGAGTGCAGAAGAGATAAAACTGGAGTGATGTGAGATCTACACCGAGCTTTAGTAAAAGCCTTTCTGCAGAGCCTGAGTTAGAGAAGATGTACAGACAGAGGCAGGTGGATCAAGGTGTTAGCTGGCATCAGACTGAAAACAGCCCAGTGCTGAAACAGAGCAGGAGGGTTAGGGTTACGACGCAGCGATGCAGGAATGGAAATCACTCTAAAATCATACTATACAAACAAACTATAAAATTATTATTATATGATTCTAAAAGAGCATTACTAGTGTTCTTTGTCTGAGTAAGACATGTGGGATACGCTGGTGTTACTTGGGTTTTAGGAGCATTCCTTGGACAGGGATAAAGCACATTCAGAACATGCATCTGTCTTATTTAGGGTTTTTATTTTCCCGCAATTTCTGACACTCTCTGTGAAGTAGAGATGCCTGCCCTAAAACGAAAAGCCCACATTTCTGGTTGAGAGGAGAAACACACCTACTTTTACACATTACTGGATACACAAATATCCCAATGTTGACTTTTCAAGAAGGTGGCTAAAGGAATGAAATTCAAACAACTCCAATGCCTGTAGGAAACTGAACAAAATCTTGTTTTGACACGATGCTGCAAAATGGCACAAGCAGCCCCAGCTGTTCCAATATTCTATATTTTGACTAGGGATGCACCGATCCGTTATCTGGATCAAATATCGGCCCCACTATCAACAAAATAGATGGATTGGGTATCGGAAAATGCAACCTATACCTGAGGCGATCCTTTCCTTTTAAATCTATTGCGACGTGAGCTACGTCATACATCATGGAGCAAAGGAGAGAATCTGCTGTGTGGAGGTATTTCACACTGTTTCAACTGCTGTTGCACAATTGCTTATTTTTGTTGAAAATAAAAAGTTCATCAGTGCATTAATCTGTTTCCTCTTGTTTCATTTTATCTCAGGAAAGAACTGTGTAGTCATCAATGCCTGATGCCTCTAGTCTTTTCTGTTCTACATGTAAAGGTATATAGCTTTTTAGGTCAACCATGGTATCGGATCGGTATCGGCTGATACTCAAAGCCATAGCATCAGGATCGGTATTGAAACTGAAAAAGCTGGATCCGTGCATCTCTAATTATGACATGATAAACGAAGAGTTTGCACAGCTGCCTGTGAATCGGAATATTACTATATAATGACGAAAACTCTGTGTGTGTGTGTTCCATGTTTTTCTCCTCACTGACTTGGTCAATCCATGTGAAATTTGGCACAGTGGTAGAGGGTCATGGGAGGATGCCAATGAAGCAATATTACATCAATTGGCCAAAGGGGGGCGCTATAGCAACCGATTGAAATTGAATGGGCATATCTCATGCCCCGTATGTCGTAGAGACATGAAACTTTGCACAGAGATGCCTCTCCTCATGAGGAACACATTTGCTTCAAGAACCCATAACTTCCGCTTATATAGATTTTCCGCCATTTTGAATTTTTTGAAAAACACTTCAAATGGATCTCTTCCTAGGAAGTTTGAGCGATCTGCATGAAACTGGGTGAACATAATCTAGGGACCAATATCTAAAGTTCCCTCTTGGCAAAAGTTGGAAAACTTAATAAAACTGAGCTTCTATAAGGCAATGACTAACTATCTGCCTTTCAATGTGCTACCTCAACTACTAATGTACAGTTTTAGCCCACTAACTATCCCACTACTGGCAATGGTCTGCAATTTCCTATGACCTGTATCCCAAACACAGACCACGTGAAACTGTACGTGGGCAACTGTGCACTCAGTTGGTATGAAATCGTATTAGTAGAATATTCATTTTCATTATCTGAGTGAACAGATTAGTAGGAATTCTCCGTCTTTTTTCACAATAAGGCCAAAAACTGAATATTCTGTGCATGTAAACGTAGTTACTGAAATACAATCCAGGGAATCAAAGTGACAGAATCAGATCCCCAAACCCTGCACAAGACTTTATAATACTCAGACAGAAACTGAAAAGTTACCACCCTTTGTCAAAACAATTGCGAAGTAAATGAAGTCATCTACCAGAAATGTGTGCCTGGATATATATGAACAGCCAACATAGCGCCTGGCCTGATGATGCTGCCCCAGTCTGTGATCCTCTCTAATAGATAGAAATGAATTCTGGTGAAATGTGTCCATCCACCTGACATGCTGATACGTACACTTGAGATTTTGACAGGGCTCATGTTGTAGAGATTGAACCTGTGACTTTTCTGTGGCTGAACTATGCTGCCATGAATCATGCTTATGATTGCATAACAAAGGTTGGTTAAAGTGAAGATGATAAGTGTGAGGAAGGAAGCAGAATATGCAAAATGAAAAGCTGAGAGGAAGTGAAAGTGGAGATAAGATACAGGCTGCTGTCAAGTGTTGATAAGGTGCATGAAGCAAACTCAATGAGCAGCGTTAGACGACTAAAGAAGAGGGTTACTAAATAATAAACACTTTGGGTTGAGACCACGGATCAAAATGTTATTCCACATTATAATTTTTTGAAACACTGGACTCGCTGCAGTTTTCCTTTCTGACTCAACAACAGCTCGCCACAGTCAACACAATAAACTTAATCACAACCGTGGCCCCGCGGTGTCAGCGCACACACACTTCAAAGACAGTTTCAGAAGTGGTCTTTGAAAACTTGGCAGCATCCGAAGGTCACTCCACAAAAGCCAGAAAGCTATGTTACCATGGCTACGGCTCAAAGCATTTAACACTCTGAAAAATATTTTGGGGTTTGGGAGAAGAGCGGCGTCTCTGAGAGCGGTGCCAGCTTTGTGTGTCTCTGGAGGAGATCCAGCTCCAAACATTCTGTAGAACACAGAGCAGATAAACGGCCGAGCAGAAGAGAAGGGAGGTACCAGAAGCTGTGCCAGCACCACACCTCTCCCCTCTGTTTGCCACAGGTGAGGAATGTGGGGGGGGGGGGGGGGGGGGGTGCACTTCAGTCAGAGGATTTGAACTGTTCTCAGGACACAGATGGGACTTCCTGCTGCTCTTGGAATAACAGGAATATTTTTCACAGAAATTATTATTTAATATCCTGCACACATGCGGCAGCAGAGGAAAGGATTCAGCGGGGTCCTGCTGTTTTCAGTTAGCTTCACCCGCTGGTTCTCTGTCTCAGTCCAACACACAGCAAGTGCTCGAGCATGGAGGCAAACCGCTGAGAGATGATGGTTTGGCTGAACTCGGCTTCAGACTCATCGGTTACAACCAGAATGGAGCCAGTGTGCTTCAGCTCTAATTGGGTTTTTAGGGAATAATGTGGTGTAGATCAAGTCTAAATGCAGATGATTGAGTGTGGCCTGAGTGTGAGGCAGGGGTCACATCCATTTAGATTCCACTCAGGCCAGAATAACCAAACTGCAGCCGCTAGAGAAGTAATTAACAAGCTTCAACGTCCACTTTGACAGAAGTTTAACCAAAACATTTTCCTGACGTCTCCACTTTCCTTCAGACAGTCAGTTAACAAACATTTAGGACAGAGCAGAGTGTGCACACCGCCTGTTACTGTGCAGAGGAACACAGGCACACTGTTGACATGCATACTGTACATGTCAGTCATTTTACAACATATTATTTAAGCTGTCTTTACAGGGAGTTTGTCTTGAACTGTACTTTAAGAGGGTGTTTAGCTATTTAGTGTTGCAGCTACATAAAGCTACATAAAGCTACATAAAGTAAAGAGATGGCGAGAGACAGCCTTAAAGATGAATGGTTAAAACAAAACTTAACATTATTCTGACTTTTATGGATTAAGCTCCAAAAATCTTTAAACATGAGATGAAACACTGAAAACTGATAACAGTATCAATATCATATGCAATATTATTTTTTAAATATCATGTGCAATATTATTTTTTAAATATCTTGTGCAATATTATTTTTTAAATATCACGTGCAATATTATTTTTTAAATATCACGTGCAATATTATTTTTTAAATATCATGTGCAATATTATTTTTTTAATATCACGTGCAATATTATTTTTTAAATATCACGTGCAATATTATTTTTAAAATACCTTGTGCAATATTATTTTTTAAATATCACGTGCAATATTATTTTTAAAATATCTTG